GATGTAACTGGCTTCCAAAAGTCACAAAGTTTTTTGATAACTGTAAGCTGATTATTGTCTAAATTTTATAAAGACACAGATATTTGCTCTAAAAGTGGGTGCTCCCTTTTTTCATTTTAACTGCATTACCACAGTGAGTAACAGATCTTTAAGAAAATCAGGATACCTTCATCCCTTCTATGTAGAGGTTAAATCCTAAAAAGAGAGCAGGAGCAGATCAAGAAGTCAAACAAAAGAAAATAATCAATTTGCTGTTTGCTATTTCTGGAATTTACTTTTTGTGTGTTTAAGTAATAAAGCAGTTTCCCTAAACTACCACAGAAAAGGTTCTGTTGGTTGAATGCTGGGACTGGAGGAAAAGCACCGGCTATATTAGACCACATCAAAACCCCACACAAGAGTTGAGGCAGCTTCTGACTTTAAACTGAGGTTGTCAAATTAGAGGCTGCAAAGGAGATGAGCACCAGGTGGGAGGACCAACAGGTACCTGTCATTTAGCAGGCTACCCAGTACACCAGTCTCAAACTTGCTGAGTGCCACAGCATAGCAACATTAAGCATCACTCCTTAAATTAAAAGCAGGGAGAAGCAGTCTGTGTGCGGCCAGAACAGCCCCAGAGTGACAAATAACTTTGAAAGGACCAGTGCAACAACTCAATACACGTACAGTTGGAGCCACTAAGACTTCTCCCATCCCATTCTAGTACACTACCCAGTAGCCCAGCCTATCTTCCAACTACATAATGCATACTACCTACTAAGGAGTAACTTTTCAGAAGTAACACTCTTAAGAAAAGGAGACAGAAAACCAGTGAACAACTAAGGAAGTCACTTCTTCTAAATCAGTGTTTCATCAAAGTCCTATCAGGGTAACTCAAATCATATATTTCTCCCTGACTTTTCTTTTTTTTTTAAATCCAGTTATAGAACCTGCCAATAAAATTCATCAACACAACAGAAAAAGGAACCGTAAGTAGCATTCAGAAGTTTCTTGACCTAAAGTTCTGGGGTCAGCCAGGAAAAAAGGGAATTAATCTAATCCAAAATAATAATTTTTGCATTATTTTTCCACTCATAACAGGAGGTATGGATGAGATTTCTTTGCAGAGAATGCTGCAAATTGATAGCTTTGTTCCAGTTCACTACAGTTTCTTATTGATTTTCTCTCATTTTAGCCTGCATTGATTTGTTAAACCCTTCTCTGTAACACTTCTAATGACAAACTGAGAATGACAAACTGCATGCTTTAGGGCCTTTTCCACCAACCTCTTGCTTCAAACTCTATTTTCACTTGGATTTGGATCATGCTCATGCACATACCCTGGCTTAGACCTACCTCACCTCAAACTAGCACGAATATTTTTTACATGGAAACCTTTCTGCTTAGGGTCCTCAGAGGTGAACAAGGCAAGTGAAACAACAGTGAGGCAGAACTGGATTTCTGCACTAACAGTTGTCAGCTTCCAAGGCTGGTGCTCACAGAGGCTTTGTATTAATTAAGACCAAGGTCTAAAGACCAAGGCCCACAAAGACAAATACCCAAAAGTGACAGAGTGACACAGATTTTTTTTTTAATTTATTAACTGAAATTCTTATCTCCCTCCTCAGAAAACTGTAATCTAGCACAGCCTGCTTTAATTAGAGAAGGGATGTGATGAAAACATGGCTCCATGTGAGCAATGCTGCATATCCAAAATGACTGCAGCCCTTCCATACAGTTTAGCAAGAAACATTCAGCCCTGCAAAATGACTTTCCACTTGTTTATTGCTGCAGCAAACGTTTGCTGCAATGTGAATGACATGCTGAACATACCACAAACAGTAAAACGATAGCTATTAAAACCAAAAATATCAAACGGACTGGAAAAGCATTTTGACAAGGAGGAAGCATTAAACCAGGTCTTTGTAGCATTTGCTAAATACAGAGGCTCATCATATTTCAGGCCATTTGTATTTAATTGTCCTTTCATCAGAAGAGCAGTGGATATGAATGCACATCAGGCAGCAGATGAGTCGGATGTTCTGAAGAGGTGCAATCAAGGACGCCGCACAACACAAGAGCACTGCACGCAGAATGTCTCACACAACCAGCTTGGGCTGCAGCCTGAAACTTTCTTTTCAGTGTCCATGGTGGTGCCTCAAAGCACCGAGAGGCAAATAATAAAAAGACCTGCAGTTGCATAATTCAAAAAGTTTAGACACGAGATGCCAGGAACCTGATGTCCACACACTTTTAAAGCTGTCAGGAAGACATACTCGGATTAATAGATAATTACTCAGGCTTTTGCTCTTCCAGTCTTTCAGTTGAAAGAAAAAAGTGCTCATACTTCTCAAGGTCAATGCTTCCAAATGCGTTTGTCAGAGGAAGTCAAACTCACAATGGAATAGGTCACTCACAACACTTCAAAAATCAGGTTTTGGAGTGGTAGGCAGACCCAGACATTATATCAATTTCAACACAAAGAAAGGAGAATCCCTGGCCTTTGGTAGAGAAAGCAGGTAAGCCATGGGCACGGAGACAAGGAGCAGCACAGGAGGTTACATCTACTGCGCTGTCCTTGAGGTAGTGTCCTTTTATAATGTCCTCTAATCCTTAGATTAGTTTCTCCACTCTGGTTTTAACAATATTAACTCAAGTGATGAGGCAATCAGCAGACCACAACTTTGCCAAGAATTCAGCTGAATCATTACAAATGATTTATAGAAAAAGACTCTGGATAAAAATCATTAGTTGCAATCCTCAACTGTTAAAATGGCTCTCTGCATTAAACATGCAAATTGGAATTGTTAATGCAAGGTAAAAAACATGCAAATTGGCACTGTTAATTCAAGGTAAACATGGAAAAGAACTCATCTTCCCTGTATTCCTTTCAATACCGCTCTCAAATCAAACCTCGTCTCCATAGAACACCAACAAGGGGAAAAAGGGATAGCTTGTCTGTAAATGAAAACCAGCCCACCCTCCACATAGCCTACACACTGCAATTTAATGCTTTTTTCAGTATAAATTCTAGCTCTGGAATTATTTTGTTATCTTGAAGGGAATAAATTTAGGCTATTATCTCCTTTTTCCCTTTCTCATCAACACAGCTCCTCTTAGGGCACAAATGATGCTAGTTCTTGATCACGGTCTGCTTAAATCATCTTCATGCTGTTAGCTCTGCGAAGAACGATGCCTGCTCCAGAACACTGCCATTGCTCATCACTCAAATCAGGTCTCTCATAGGTCTATAAGGAGGAACAGCGCCGAGGGCAGCAGAATGAAGATGAGATTGTTTTCCTCTTCCTTTTCAAGGAATATTTCTGAATGCATCCCTTTCCTTCACCTTCATGGATCACTCACCCTGCCAAGTATAAGTTCCCCTGTGCAAAGCTATAGCTGCCTTGGCTTTATATTGTACGAGAAACAGAACTACGTACTTGAAGCACTACTCAAAGCACAGATGAAAAACAGCATGAAACAGATCCAACAATTGCGTTCTCTAGATATCTGGTAACAATAGCAGGGACATCCATCTCAAAACGAGCAAGAAAGCTCTTTGAGACTCAGCGGAGACAACAGCGACTAAACAAGTCGCAGCATCCTGGGCTGTGAAGCTGCACTTCACATCCGTAAGCGCACACATTCACAGCACACTGATGGTGGGAAAGGGCGGAGGCTAACTCTGTTAACCGAAGCCTCATCATGGGAGATCACTAGGAGGTGGAGGTAAGGTACGTACGTCGCAGCTGAAGCTGCCAACCTGTACTTACCCCTTGCGTTTTCCTGCCAGCTACCCCACGGGGACAGGCATGCCACCTTTTGACTGGTTGTCTGCCCAGATGGGACCTGCACGCTGCCTGCCAACAGGCCACTGCCACATGCTGCCTCTCAGCCACTAAACAACCAAGATTTTTCTCTGCCTTGTCAGCAGCACAGGTTGCATGTTGTGTCGGACTACACCAAGTAAGTTTTCTTTCTGATCTTCTTTATGCATGAGGATAAATCATTTTGTATCAAATTAGCCATATGAAAAGAAAGCTTCCAATATCACTCAAGGGTGTTATAAGGTAGAGAAAAATTCTAGAAGCTGCAGCATTATTATTTATCATCTAGAGAAAGGTCATTGGCTAAACTGTTACAGACAAAAGTAGCTCTGTAACTGGGCAGGTTCCCAGTTTATCTCCTAGGCTGTATTGAAGACACAACTATCTCCTGCACACACTGACATCTGAGAGAACCTGGCATCTTCCACTAATGGTGACTCTGGTTCCACCAAGGAAAAAAATCAGTTTCTGAACGCAAAAGCCTTTTAAGAAATTTGAAATAATTGAATCGTATTAACTTCTCCGCTTACAGGAAGAGCAGCAAGGGCTTGTGCTGCAGCATTTGAAAAAGTTCTATTCAGGAAATTATTCTGATTATTTTATTGCACAAAAAACCACCAAAACACAACAACAACCACCAAACCATTTTGGGGGGGGGTGGCAACCACAGTGTCTTGGTTTAACACCAGTCAGCAACTAAGCACCACACAGCTGGGCACTCACCTTCCCCCTCCCCTACTGGAATGGGGGAGTGAATAGGAGGAAGAAGGTAAAAAACTATTCTTATTTCAAGCATTGAGTTTAATAATGAAAATAAATGAAATAAAATAAGGATACCAATAATGCTAATAATGATAATATGTAATGAAAGAGAAAACAGCAATGGCAAAAATCCCAAGTGATACAACTGCTCATCACCCACTGACTGATAGCCAAGCCTGTCCTTGAGCAGCAAGAGAGAGCGAGCGTGCCCCCTGCCCAACTGTACGCTGAGCATGTTTTATGGCACGAAATATCCCTTTGGTCAGCTGCCTTCTTCGCACAAATCCAAAACATAGCCTCATACTAAAAACATCAGTGGGTTATCAACCTTCTCAGAAAAAAAATCCAATGTTTAGCCTCATACTAGCTACTGTGAAGAAAATTAACTCTGTCTCAATCAAAATCAGCACAAATGGCAATTATATTCTTTACCTGAGATGCTCCATTTAGGCAAGGCACTGAAATAGGGATGTTACACAACATCTCCAAGCGTTGTTCCGGTGCTGTGCACGCCTCCTGCCCATCAGGAACTGCAGTGTGCCTTCCAAGCTGCCCATAGTCCGCTCTGCCCCAGGTGAACACCTTGCCAGTTTCTAAACACAAAACACATTTGAAGATTAGTTATTCACTAGGTTTCTGGAACATCTGGATACCAATTCAAAACTAGAACAATACTTCTTAATGTATCTTATCTAAAGCTTCAGAAAAGCTTTAGAAGACACAAAATAGTGAAAACATACTTCTGGGAGCAGAAGAAAGAAATAATAAAACTAGCTAAAGACATATTATAATGTACTTCTATATATTTACTCAAATTACATTAACCTGTTTTCTAGCAGAACATCATCTGTAGGGTGGTTTATAAATGGAACCACATCAGTAAAGCTGCACAGCCTGGACATTCTGCATATAATATATACACTTTGGTTATACAAAGGACATATTTTTGGCTTAAGAGAAGCACACACAAACCAGCTTATTCTGAAACATAAAAGATTCTTCTCTATTCCCAGTCTTTGCCATCCACTGCATGTCCCGTATTTAACATACAGTTTATGTCTTCCTGATAGAAGTTACCTTCTGTCACAACTTCTGTTACCAGAGGAACAGCCCTCAGGACAGCAGCTGGTTAGTCAGGAACACCACCACAGCTATCACAAAGCATTGGAAACGCACCAGTTGGTTTCCACAGCAATCACATATTGGCCAAGGAAAAAGAACTTTAAATGAAATCAGCAGTATATGGATCACCCTTCCCTCCACTATTATACCATTCTCCAGTATGCATGCTTTCTACCTTCAGTTCCCAATTATTTTCTTAATGAAGTAACTAGATCTCTGCAGGTAACTCATGAAAAGCTGGGCCTTCTGGGCTTCCAATTAAACAAGTTATACACACACAGCATAAACTGTACATTCTCAAGTCATTTGTAACTAGGAGCAGCAATCTGCACTCCAGTCCAGAAGGAAGCCTGCAATGACCTTGAGTTATGTAGACACTTCAGCCAAGCCTCAAACTCCTCTCCAGAATGGAACTCACGTCATAAATGATGTGGATTTGAGAAGCACACTACCAAGCCAAGCAAGTCAGCTTAGTACACACACTTCTCCCCTTGTCAGTCAGTGCAGACATATCCCACAGAGGGGTCAGGAGCAGCACATACCAGTCACACCGCCCAAAGGTGACAACTGAGGGTTTTCCTAACACATACCTTTGGAAACCTGAACACCTCCCTTTTCCTTTGAGCACTGTTAAACGGTCTTGAAGGGGACACAGGTGGGCACTGCTGGTTTGTGGAGCTTAAGCTGAGAACGTATCTAGTAAATAAAGCAGAAATAACCTCTAACTTTGTATATTTAAATATGCAATAAGTATATGCATTTTCCTTGGAAATCTACTAGCACTGGTATCTTTTACCCAACCTTTGCAACACCTTCCGATGCAATCTATCTGTTCACTGATAATGCTTCCCCTGAAATAATTGTGATAACATTACTTGTCCTTTTCTCTCAAGGGCAGAAAGATTTCCTTCCTAAATGTAAGCTAAGTTCGAGGGTTTTACATCAGACCAGCTTACTGCACCTATCCAGAACCCTGTTAGTAGACTGGAAAAGGACAGGCAGGCTGGTCTATTTTATATCAGCTACAGGAACTGAAGCTGTTTTATGAAATCTAAAGCCAGAAAGAATTTCTGTAACATCTCATTAGATCATTAATACACCACAGGTTCTCAAGCCCTACCCAGACACTGCTGAACTATGGTCCTTGGTATCAATACAACTAAAGCATTTCAACTCTCAGGGAACTCTGTCTCGACCTGGACAACAAATATCAGCCACTCATAACAAAAATGACCCTTCGCATCATCACATCAAGGCACTGCTCCACCTTGTTTCATGTCTTGTCTGCTGCTGACGTCTGGATTCACATGAAGGCAATCTAAAATCCCAACACACACCTGACCAGTTACTCACTGAGAAAATTATTCTCCCACCCTGCCAGTGGCCAGCAGAAACCAGTGAGCAGTTAACACGATCACCATCTTGATGACAAGCTGCTAGAGCAAGTTCTGTGCAAAGCAGACGATTCCTTTCCCCTCTGCCAAGGAGGAGTAAAAGGTGGAGAAAAGTGCAGCAGTCTACAGCTTCTCAACTGTAAGATCAGAACCCAAAGATTAGGTAAACAACTACTTCCTTCTCAGTGCTCATGAACTCCATTCGCACTTCTAATGAGTAGAAATTCACTCCCCAGACTTGCTCCTTTTTGGTGAGAGCAATCCTTTTTTTTAAAAAAAAAAAAAAAAAAAAAATCTGTCTTTTCTGTGAGAGAACCTAAGAAAAGCTGATTTAGAAGTGGATTCTCTAGGTAATACTGATTATATTTTTAACAAACAAGAAAACCTACCTCAAAACAAAATAATCCTAAAAAAAATAGTCCTAAGCAGAAATTTCAGGCTGAGGCAAACACCAATGCATGGAAAATTCCAGCCAGAAAGGATAAAGCTTCACCGAGATCCTAGGTAAAAGAAAGCACTGAGTTATCACCGAAAGCGCACTACGCAATTGTATTGAGAAGTATTGCTACTGTGCTGCTTATAGACAGTATTTTTAAATGTTCTAAGAATATTTGAGAAAAAGACGTTAGTCACACAGAGTAAGGAGTACTTAAGAAAGAAAGGTGACATAACAAGGAGTGTTGGTCTAATATTAGAACAGATTTTAATTGGAAGTCAAGAAAACATACACAGTGATGAGTCAACTGGACAGTGTACATCAGCTGTGGAAGTGGCTGTGGCAGCAGAGTGAGGTATTTCATACCAGACTTTACACAGTAAGAGGGCACGAAAGGCAGGAGTTGTTTGTACAACTTGCATGAAAGAAGCATTGGAAAACAACACTGGAAAGCTTTTTCAGTTCTTCTAAGACAGCAACAATGCTTCCTAGGACCTTGATCTTGCCATATTTTGAGCATGGAGGCTTCAATTCCTCAAGTGTGAACAGCAACATTGTCCCAAATGCCTTCATTGCAACTGTTCCTTTTGTCAGCAGGCAAACGCTACATCAAATAAATGCCAGAGGGTTCAATAACATTTAATTAAGGATTTAAAGAGTAATAAACATAATTCATGTACCCTGTGTCATTCCAGTGTACAACTAGAAACATACAGTACAGGAGTTCAGAGACCTACAAGAAAAGGACAGAGGTCAGAAGATTTAAGGAAAACTTCCCAAGAGTCCCTTAAGCAAACACTATGCTACATCATTTGATATTCTACATGGTCATACAGACATAGTTTCCTCCTGCTCTTTGAACTGTGAACACAGCAGCCTGCATCAGTACACACACAGCAGCACATCAGCCGAAACACACGCTCACGTCCCCCACAGAACACGGATGAAGGTACGTGCATATTCAAGGGGCACTAGGTACTCCGCTATCAGGGACCCTCCTCTGTATTTTCTTCACATCATCCTTCTATCCTCATGCTATCACAAAGCATAGACAGTTGAGAATCGCCTTGAAATTAGAAGTTCACAACCTTCAGACTATTGCAAACGCAGCAACACTGCATAAAGCACTTCCAGTTGCTTCCTGCCTGACGCTGTAGCTCTTATGGTGCTGCAGAGGCTGTGGAGCATGTCATTTTTCTCTTTTAGCACTTTCTTATTCAATCTGCCTAGCTACACAAGTATTTGGAGACAATTCGCAGTAAAAAACCCCATGTTTCAGATTATAAACCAGGTTGGCTTCTCAACAAAACACAACAGACAAACAGGAACATTAAAATCTACTTATTTTCACTAGATTCAGATTCATCTTTACATCAATTTTTCTGTTGTAAGATAATATCATGATTGCACTAGTGTTATATCCTTGAAGTCTCTATTTGGTATCCAGGCAAGCTTTGAACTATCATAAATACTAGATGAAAGAGTTGATCCAAGCTATCTCAATTCACGGTTGCATTAACAATTACTTTTCAAATGAACTTTGGATAGTCACACTGAATGCTTAATCTCAATCAGACTTGAAATAGGAAGTTCTATATAAAATTCCTAATCCTTCCTTTCACATGAAAATTCACAGGAGCGGGTATTAAAAATTGACGTTTAGAGGCTGCCTCTGCCTCCTCCCTACCCCACAAATTCAAACCTAGAAGACAATTATGTATCAGGAAAGAAAATTCATCCAACCAGGAGGAACTCTGTTGTACAGCATTAATGTGAACAGACACAGCACAAGGGAACATCATCCGGTCTTCTTTCAGAGCCTCCTGCAGATACAAAAACATTAAACACCCACTGACTCATATGATAATGGAAAATACGTGGCTAGGCAGGTAAACCTATGAGGATTGGGACTTCAAGAGAAGAAAAGGGGACTGTGACAGCCTTTTAGCACAGGCTAAAGGGTTCAAAACACAGACTGAGAAGTCCTTAGGCAACAGTTTACACGAAGACAGCTTGGGAAACTTTGGATCCAAACAGTTTTTCTCACCCCTAGGCCATCAGCCTTCACTATGCTTCAAATATTTGTGATGAGGAAGGTAAACTAAGCCAAGGAATCGATCTGACTGAAAAACAGCCTTAGAAAATGGGAACTTGGCAACAGCAAATATTGCTAAAGGCAGTGCTGTATTAAGTCAATTTAATATTCTGTATGATAAACTGGAGATAACCTGCAGTTTCACATCACACGCTAAGTTTACCATGCAGCTTACCAACAGATCCATATTTATCAGGACTGTTGACACCATAAAACATCTAAATAGCTTTGACTTTCATTCATTAAAAACAGGTACACTTTTTCTTTTTTGCTTCCATAGTTACACCGAGTTATGCCTCAAGATGGGCAGTGTCCAGCTAATGGGATTATTCACATCATTAACAGCATGCTTCGCTGCTTTGAAAGATTGGCCAAAAATAACTTTTGAGTATGGCAAATTCCAAGATTCTCCAGACACCTTGGAAGCCCTCCTGCCTTTGGGTTTGGGTTTTAGATGGGATAAAGGCCGTTTTGCTTTTAGATGAGAGTCTGGAAACGTGAAGTGCCATACAAAGCTCTGAATAAACCGAAAGAAAAATTAAAATG